GTGGCTGGGCAGCGGGGGAGCCCAAATGTTGTAACGCGTCATGCAGCCGTCGCTACAACAAAGCGCTGACATACTTACCGCTGATCTTTGGGAAAGCGCCATGCTTGCCATCACCTTGCGTTGAGCAAGCCATCTTGTTGGTCTCATGAGAGATGACCGGCCGTGGCTGTAGCGCGCGAGACGTCAGTGGGGTCCATGTCATATGCCGAGGCTATCAATATTTACTTACTTAGGCGAAATGCAGGAACCTCATGGCAACCCGGCAACGTCTAGCTGACCATAGTATTAACTTTGGAACGGGCCCGTCAAGACATTCAACTGCCATCGTTGCACATCATCGGCACGCGGCGCGAGTAAGCAGCAGCATAACTTTTTGAACAACTTTCATACAATTGAATCGCATCTCTATATGAAAGGAAACTCCCAATCGTTATCATCCGCATGCGTAGCCATGGAAGATTGCTGCAGATCCCCCCACGTATGCATACGTCGACAACTTGCAGCAGCTCCTCGAGGACATAGGAAAGTAACATGAAATTGCAGAAGAAGACCCATCCGTCAACTAAGCATCGTAAGTCTATCATATGCAGACATTCTTTTAGGGAAATCATTTCGCACATGAGAGACCAACGCCAAGATGCCGCGATGTAAGGACGGCTGCTCGTCCCACCCCGAACCACTTTTGAACCAGACCAAACAGAGAGCGCCACCTGGCCTTGCAGGCGTGCTCGAATTAGAAGACTACCGTCTCTACACCGTTACACCACCTGGACCGCAGGAGGGGTAGGGAGAGACGGTAGGATGAATGCAGTATAGGAACAGCTTCTTAGATGAGGTCTGTGAGTGCCGTTAGCAGCCGAACTTGAAAACATACTCGCGTTGGGCAGAAACTTACCAGCCACGTTCATGGGCATCTCCTCGATCTGTGTGCTGTAGAACTGCTCAATTTCGCGCATCATGCGGACATCGTCGGCAGTGACGAAGTTGATGGCAACACCCTTACGTCCGAAACGTCCACCACGACCGATGCGGTGGATGTAGTTCTCGCGGTTGGCGGGGAGGTCGTAGTTGATGACAAGGGAGACCTGCTGGACATCGATACCACGGGCAAGAAGGTCAGTGGCAATGAGGACACGGGAAGATCCGGAGCGGAACTCCTTCATGATGACATCACGCTGGGCCTGGTCCATGTCGCCGTGCATGGCAGAGACAGTGAAGTCACGGGCAGTGAGCTTGTCGGTGAGCCAGTCAACCTTTCTGCGGGTGTTGCAGAAGATGACAGCCTGAGTGATGGTGACGGTTTCGTACAAGTCGGACAGAGTGTCGAGCTTCCAGTCCTCCTTCTCGACGGCAATGTAGAACTGCTTGATACCTTCAAGGGTAAGCTCGTCCTTCTTGACGAGAATGCGGACGGGGTCGCGCATGAACTTGGTGGTGACCTCGAGGACGTCCTGGGGCATGGTGGCGGACAGAAGGACAACCTGGGTGGACTGGGGCAGGAGCTGGAAGATGTCGTAGATCTGCTCGGTGAAACCGCGAGACAACATCTCGTCGGCCTCGTCGAGGACGAACATCTTCATGTGGTCGGTCTTGAGAACGCGACGCTGGATCATGTCGTGGACACGGCCGGGAGTACCGACAACGACCTGAGGGCCGTCCTGGAGGGCCTTCATGTCGTCGCGGACACTGGTACCACCAATGCAGGCGTGGCACTGGATTTCCATGAAGTCACCAATGGCAACAACAACCTTCTGGATCTGTTGAGCAAGCTCACGGGTGGGGGCGAGGATAAGAGCCTGGCAGGCCTTGACGCTGGAGTCGATCTTCTGGAGGGTGGAGATGGAGAAGGTAGCCGTCTTACCGGTACCGGACTGAGCCTGGGCAATGACATCGTTGCCTGGAGAATGTGTCAGTTGCAAGTTTTGATTGTGGTGCGGGCGGTGTGAATGGTTTGTGGAGGGGCAAACTCACCCTTGATGACGGGCATGATGGCGCGCTGCTGAATAGCAGAGGGACGCTCGAAACCATAGGCGTAGACTCCACGGAGAAGCTCAGGCTTCAGGTTCATGTTGTCGAAGGAGTCGGTGACTTCATCGTAGTTGGACTCGATCTGGCCTGCGCGGGGTTGGTTAGCGTGCGCTCTAGGGTTTTGCAAGTGAGGCGGTTATCGCTATCGTCGTCGCTGTTGCACTGCGGGGGGAGGGCGCATATTCGCACAGCAGCGGCGGCGGCGTCGAAGCCTCTTGAGGAGAAGAAGAAAAACTCACCCTCGGGCACATCCTCAAGACCTTTGTCAGCCATGATTGCGACTGGGGAAGAGCGACTACTGGTGCTGGACCGTAGTCGAAGAGTTGCTCGTGGCGGGGTTGAAGCGGGGGGATCCTCTGGATGCCGCCGCTATGTAGGAGTGGTTGTTGTGGAAGAAAAAACCAGATACCAGATCCTCTGCGCGAGAATCAAGTGGGTATCTAGGAATGAAGTGTGTATTTTGTGTTGTGGTGGATTTGGTGATGATGAGGGACAGAAGGTGGGTGGGCAGCCGACGTTATAAGCAGGAGCCACCTGAGATTTTTTTCCAGGTGCTAGCGCCAAAATCTCGCTAAGACAAGCCAAAATCCTCGTCGATGCTTGCAGACGTACGAATACACTGGGCTTAGTCGCCCGCAAATAATTGTCTAGAGTACTATTACCCAAGGTCCGCGCCCCAGGCCTGATCAATGACTCCTCCCTAATCCCCCGTGATTGCATCTGAACCTCGGTTTGCGCCCGTGAAGCCGTCTGCGCAGTGTCTACACCAATATTTGTTCCACGCTTTTCTTCACAATGGCCCCCGGCATCCTAGACCCCCCTGGCATCGCGACTGCCGAATCACGGCCCTCGAAAAAGCTCAAGACGTGTGCAGTGGCAACAACCGACTCTGACGATGAGGATGTCGCCGTCGCCGCCACCGCAGTCCCCTCGCATCCCTTGGGCATCAAGCCGGCCGGCAACGCCTATACCGCCCGCGAGAACATCAAGTCAAGATGCGGCCTCTTTGCCAGCCTACCTGATGAGCTGCTGAGCCACATCCTTGAGTCATTCGATGCTGATGTTCTGGTCCGCCTGGGCAGCACCTGCCGTGCCCTCTATGCTTACACCAGACTGGACGAGTTGTGGAGAGCCTTATTCGTCAAGTAAGTATCAACCACGGTCGACACATGCATGTACTATTTTCTTCGGCTCTTGTCATTTTTCTCTGTTACATCTCCACCACGGTTCCCACCAGATGGTATGCAGGAAGGATTTGTTCCCTGCAGGCTGTCTGCGCACGTTGTCTGAGCACGCTGAACGACGTCCGTCTGCTATGACTGTCCCTGGTCGCCTTATTGCTATACAGCTGTAGCCTGCGGAATCACGAGCCCAGTGCGCGAGTAGCGGTATGACTCAACTCGTGAAACCTCCAGCTGTGGACTAGACACTTTGCCTGTTTCTTTGTTTATTCTCACATTTCCTCTATTCAGGATTGGATCGAGGTCGGCCGTTGGCGGTAAGCGTCAACGATTACTGAATCCGACAATCTGATTGGCTGTCCCGTATGAGCTAGCGTGTTTCTTACTTTGAGCCACTTCCCTCTAGTCAAACACTGCCAATAATCCAGCGTACGCAATAGCTAATTTGCCAATAGTTCTCCAGCTGACGACTTTGAATGGCGCGGAACTTGGCGAGCGACATATCTCAAGATTCCCAAGGAGCATGTCACTTCTATTCCCTGCAAAAATCTCTTCTCAGACACTCTGTACCGCCCGTTCCAATGTGCACACACCCCTCTCAACCTTTATGCACTCAACATTCCAAAGCATAATGAGATAGCTCGGCTGTCAGATCTGACTTACGAAGAGTATGCTGAGGCTTGGGTGAACAAACCCTTTATCCTCACCACACCTGTCAAGCAATGGCCCGTGTACGGTACCTGGACGCCAGAATACCTGCTCGGAAAGTTCCCAGAAACAAAGTTCAGGGCTGAAGCAGTCGACTGGCCAATGAAGAAGTACATGTCCTACATACACGACAATGCTGATGAGTCACCCTTGTACCTTTTCGACTGCGCATTTGCAGACAAGACTGGTATCGACATATCAGCGCCACCTCATTCCAAAGAAGCAGCATATTGGAGTCCCACATGTTTTGGCGACGACCTCTTTGGCGTTCTAGGCGAACACCGCCCAGATTGCCGCTGGATGATCATGGGCCCTAAGCGCAGTGGCTCGACATTCCACAAAGATCCCAATGCTACATCAGCGTGGAATGCCGTTCTCACAGGTAGCAAGTATTGGCTCATGTTCCCCGCTGGCCCAGGCATCGAGCCGCCCCCAGGCGTCATTGTTTCAGAAGATCAGTCTGAGGTTACTTCGCCACTTAGCATTGCAGAGTACATGCTGACGTTCCACGAACTCGCCCGCCAGACTCCAGGTTGCAAAGAGGGTATTTGCTATGCCGGCGAAGTATTGCATGTGCCCTCTGGGTGGTTCCACCTGGTGCTTAACCTCGAAGACAGTCTAGCGTTGACGCAGAACTTTGTCCCAAGGAAAAAGCTACCTGATGTCTTGGGGTTCCTCCGCGACCAAAGGGCCGAAGTCAGCGGTTTCGAGGAGGACGTCTGCGATAGGGCTTATGAGCTCTTTGTAGAGAGGCTAGGTGAGCAGCATCCCGACTTGCTCGAGGAAGGCCTTGCGGAGTTGGAGAAGATGAAGACGAAGAGCAGAGGGAAGTGGGAGCAGCTAACCAAGGGAGATGAAGAGGAGCAAGACAGTGGGGGCTTTAGCTTTGGCTTTGGCTTTGAGGGAGATGACGATGATGCTGATATCCCATGAACACTTTAGAAAATGCAAAGTTCATTGAAGTTGTAAATGAAAAAAAAAGTCATATATCTGCGTATTACTATGCGTCTGGGTATCGTACCGTCATGAAATCGTAAATCATAAACGCCATATCGTTCATGGATGTGTCCTCTTCTTCCCCACTCACTTTGCGTGATTAATAATCTCAGCATACATATCCTCTGGCACCTTGCCGGCAAAGCTCATAGCCACACCTATGATCTTCTGAGCATTCAAGCCGGGCAAGTTACGCAGAATAGTGTTGGGACTGTAACCAGGATGTTAGCATGCGTGGAAGAAGAGAAAAGACAGTCATCTTACCTAGGACTAGTCAGAATATCCGCACGAATAACAACCAACTGAGCAACAATGCACAAGATGTTCAAATGCGGACCATATGCAAAAAGAAAGTCCCAAAGCTGCAGAACCTCAGGCAGCGGCGGCGTACACGCACACATGGTCAGCACAGAGGCAAAAGCATAGATTCTCGCCTCCATATGGTGCGCCATGAGGTACTCGTAGAGCTTGGGATCCACAACCTCGAGCACCCTGTCCACAAGCGCCAATCCCTTGTGCACGCCCTCCATAGATCCACGCACGTAACCCGGACACTCTTGCGTAATCAGCTTCTCAAAGCCCGTGAAAGCCTCAACCTCGCTGCGGGCGGCGTACAAGAAAGGTCCGCACAGCACATTCATGCCTTGGACATAGCCAATCTGCTCAGCATCATTCGTCGTTGATGCCTCTGTGCGCGCGCCTCCCGTCCGCGACATCATGGTCGAAGTGTCTGGGCTGCCGCCAAACTCTGATAGCGTGGGGGGCGACTGCCACCCATTGACACGTGCCTCGTGCGCATCGTTGAGCCGCCACGCCACGGCGTTGAGGACCCGCGTAATGCTGTTTTGCGTGACGCGGCGACGGAAGAGGGGATCGCCTTGGAAGGTGCGGAACGTGTCGTTTTGGATTTTCGCATGCGCCGGCGATGCGCCTTGTCGGACGAGGTCGAGGTACACGTCTGTACGGAGCGGCGGCGCGTTGAGCAGGATCAGCCAGATGTAGATGCGCAGTTCAGACTGTTGTACAGCGAACATGACGTTGAATTAGCCTTTGGAGATTCACAGACACACATGGGCTCGAGCGCTTTTTTTTTCTCCATGCTTTGCCCACCCATACAGCCCTGTTCCCTTGTTGTGGCTCTTTCTTTTCGTGGGGCTGGGGAAAGGGGCGCGCGTAGAGCGACCGAGCGGAGTAGCAACGTACCATGCCCTCGCTGTTTGCGGGAATGCCTTTGGTCAGGATTGTGTAACGCAATTCCTGGAGGTACTCCTCCGGGTCGCTTGCAGAAGCTCCCTTGAGGAGCAGCATATCCAAATTCGTCATTCTTGGAAGGGAGGGGGGGGGTGTGAAGAGCGTTTGCAAGCGATTGGACTCGACCCGCGTTTGGAAGTTTGGTTTGGCGTTTCCCGCCTGTCGGCTGGCAACTGTACTACGTAGTAGTCACGGCCTTGGCGCGCCGCCAGCCTCTCATGTGCGTTTCGAGGGTCTCATGTTCCGTTCCGTCTCTGTTTCGTTCTTGCTGTACAGACGGAACGTCTTATTGCGCCTACGATAAGCTTGGTTCTGCTTGTCCTCGATGCTAAGGATTTGCTGCCAATTGAAATATGAAATGCAAAAACAAGAAAAACTGGAATATACTACATCGTCACGTCTTGGCTGTACAAATATCACCTCCACATGCAATGACAAATTCCGTAACAATAATAACAATCTAAAAGACTACCAAGACCACCTATGTAATCACATTTAACCCATGTTAAGTGTATTCCTAATCCCACCCCCAAAGCCAAGTCCAAATTCCAAAAAACCACCAAACTAATAATAGCTCAGAAAGCAAAGTCGAAAACGACAAAATCGAGCATACAAACACCCATACCGCCCAGCTTCCTTCGTGTCGCAGCTGAATGACTCTGCATCCTCGGAACACACTCTCCAAATGGCACACATGTTCATGTGAAATATCAAACCGCTATCGCGAGCCGCCTGCACATATACGCCACAATGCTTCACCAAATCTGGGCGTTTACTCTTACTCGCAACCGTGAAACCCAATGCCCTGTGAGACAGCCTCTACCTCAAAATTTTCTTCTTCTCCCTCCGCCTTACTCCGGCCATGCCGCTTATCGTGGTTTGAAGCCGCGGAGCGGGTGGGCTCTCCGTGCTGACCGAGTCTTGTCGGTAACTGTGTCAGATATGGAGATGTGCAGGTGAGCATTATTTTCACAAAATCTTTATGGACGGGTACAGAGATCAGTTTTTCGTCTGGTTCTTTCACATACGACCATCGGCAGAGTACAGCATTGGGTCTCGTTCGCTCCCCATACATTAAGCCTCTGACCGGCGGACTAGTAGTCAGGTGGGTGACCACTGGCGAATCCCCGCTGTTGTATGTTTTTTTTGCACTTTTGACCCTAAATGTACTTCCAAGTATAGACGTCTAAGGAAGTGCCGTTGATTCAATGGATTCAGACAGTAAGTTTGTCTAGATGTTTATCAGTCTGATAGTAGCATATATATTTCTACATAGAGGTACACGAGTTTAGCTCGTAAAACGTAGAAATATATGAAGCTGGTCTTCGAGAATAAACAAAATCTTCTTCGAATTACTTCTCATTCGTATTCATGCTTCGTCCTTTTCAATATCGGTCTTCGCTGATGTATTACTGATTAAAGTAGGCCATGTGAACAGTAGAGTAATACTATCACAGGAGAACTTCAATTCACCCCACTGCTTCAGCAGTCATGCTTTGTTTGTTCGTTCTTTCTCTGTATTTTCACTGAAAGATATCCCAATGTTTCATAAGTAAGTACGCCAGAGGGTCGTGTGTATTCGAGATTCAGTTTCGGACACTTTTATCGCGGAAGAGTTTACTTGTTATCACGGATAGATCATCCACAGCGCACACGTGCACGTTTGCAGGTTTATTGGAGGCCATTGGGTTGCGTATATGAACGTGGACAAGGATGAGGTCGGGTTTTAGGGATGAGGAGGAATTAGAGTAAATTTTGGTAATGCTCAGTACAGGTGCAATATGTATTAGGAAAGTTACCGGAAAAAACCGAGAAACCAAACACAAAAGACTAGAATAGTTAGATATTCAATTCCAATACCGTATCTCAGCTTTCCTTGCATTACCTACCACATCCACTATTATAGATACTCACTTGATGACAAAATACCTGCATCCAAACCTCTAATTTTTGCAGCCCATGTAACTCCGTAACACCACGTACCATCTACACAAATACGTATAGTACCGAATATCTCCCTATATTAAAAATGGGAATTGGGGTCCTATCTGTGAGGAACCATGTATACATGTATGTGCGTCGAATACCTAATACGTAAACCCAAGAAGCTGCTGAATGCAGAAACCCTAAAGAGTAAGAAAACGAGAACACTTAATTGGATAGATATCACTGTAAAATATATTTTGATGAATTAACCCAGTTCCACTGTATTAGACTACATAACCCAAAAGAGATATCCGTGACATTGTAAAACAGCATCTTGGACCTAGATAGCCATATATCATGACAAAAGTATTAGGCAAGCGCCATTCACTCAATACTCTATCTAACAGAAGCTGCACTGTGTACCTACCAACTACTATAAAATTTCTTAACTTAACATCTATAGCAATAATTCAACATCATAAAACCACATCCATTCTATCCCACATAAAACCTCGCCTTCCACCATACCCCCACCCCCTACAGAACCACAAACACGAAAAAAAGAGACGAGTGTTACACCATACCACTTACCCCCGATCCCACCATCCGATCCCCCTCCGCAACCTTCCAAAAAAAAATCTCTCAAACAATCCTAAGCCCTCACACCTCTCCACCCTCTCGATACTAAAAAAAAACCCCCAACTATTGGATTAATATCTACACTTTTCACTAACACCACACTCGCCCATCCCCCTTCCAATTTCACATCTCACATCCGCCCCCAAATTTATAAACTTCGCCGCTACACAAGTCAGCCTTGCGTTTAACGCTTGGCAACCAACATCGAAACACTACCTTTGACACTATTATAGCTGGGGCTGAAGAAAAAAAGAGGTTCGGGGATATACTAGTACTAGCGGGGAGAGGGGGGGGGGGGGTGAACTAAAGCGTAGTCTGAGCTAAGTACTGTAGTTAGGTGGGTTACTAAAAAAAAAGAGATCCGGGCAAAAGGGGGGAAGAGAGAAAGCTTAAGTAGAAGAAGTGCGTATGTAGCGATGCTTAAGCTTGACGTAGTAAAAAGGAAAAGATTACGAATATGCGTGGATGAAGGGGGAAATTTAGAATGTAAGTAAACGTAAGTATTCTGCTTTACTTGGGTTAAAACACCAATACGAAAGGAAGACTACGTAGAAAGAAAGAAAGAGATATGATAGGATATAACATCTCCCGACTCTCAAAGCATCCAAACAAACTAAACCCCCCACCGTTCTCAATCTTCCGCAATGACATGACCGCTAAAAAAAATCGGAAAAAAAGACAGGTTGAGAAAAAAAACGCCAATGTCCTATATTCATCCCGTTTCCCTGTCACTCCACTCCACCCGTATCCCCCTTCTCTCTCTCTCCAGAGCTTGTAAAAAAAAGGGGGAAGAGAAAGAAGACAAATAAAATAAGTTAATATCACACACGTACACAAACACGCATACCACATCTTAATTCAGCCCTCACCACACACATCTCTCTCTCTCTGTCTCTGTGTCTTTGCATCTTTCTCATATCGTCGGTGGTCCAATAAACCACCGCTCAGCATCCTCATCCACACCCGCATCCGCAGCATCCCCATCCTCACAGTCCTCAAACTCCTCAAACTCCTAATTCGTCGGCTGTCGCGGCAAATGCAAGAAAATAGTACACTTTTCAATCTCGACGTCTTCCTTCTTCGCAGCCGCTGCAGGCGTAGCAGGTGCCGCATTCTCAGCTGATGTTTCTTTCTTTTCCTTCTCCGCGATAATTTCGACTTCAATGCGATTTACGCCGCTGAGGAGTTTGGCTTCGAATAAGGGTTCACCCTTTTTCTTTCCGCCTTCGTAACCGGGGCCTGGGCTGGCGCCGTTGATGCCGGCTGTGACTGGGACGCGGTTTGCTTCAAGAGTCTTGTTGCCGTTGACAGTGACGAAGAGGCGGTACATGCGGTTGGTGAGTGCAATGGGGATTTTGGGGACAATCTGAATGTAGGAATGGGTGGGTGCGACAACCATGGTGGCACTGTACATGGTCTTTTGCTTGTTGGCGAGTATGTTGACGGACCATGGCTTTGATGCGCTCAGAGCGGGATGCGTATTTAGTGTGATTCTGGGTATTAATGCGTCTTGGTAATCTACGCAGTCATTAGTAAAAAAGATGAGTCGTTCCAACAGACTGCACTTACTCTTGAGTGGAGTCTTCCTGAAACAATCAACCCGTTGGACAGGAGGTGCGTGGTAGCTCTGTTGTTGCGGCGGGGGAGCGTAGTGGCCATTCTGCAAACCAAGACCGTTTGGATGTGGACTGCCGCTGTTTGTGCGAGACATGGTATGTGGCGGAGCCATGTGTGGATGCGGTGTTTGTACCGGAACGCTGAGTCGTGAGCTATCGGGCGCGGTGCTCGCAGGCCTTATTGCGCTCAGCGCTGGAGACTGTACATCTTGCTTGACACCGTTGACAGCTGGTGGAGACCCCCCGGTTTTACCTTGGGTAGCAGACAATGGAGCGCTTGCCGAAGCGCCGCCCTTGGGACCAGAAAACGGATTTGCTGATGCTCCAGGCGTTGCTGCTTCGCCAGATGCGGCTCGTGACGACTGGTTCCCCATGCTGTTGAGTACATGTCGTTGCTGCCGTAAGAGAGCGTCGTTGTCGACAATAACACCTGGAGTTGCAGAATCGCGAGCACTTGGAGTATTGGGCTCCGAGCCTGGACTTGGTTTGAGTTTTAGCTTCAATTGCTGCTTGGGAGCTGCTGATGCCGTCGACATGTTAAGTTTGAGCTTCGGCTGTGTTGGCTCGTTGACCTTTGACTTGGCCTCTTCAAGTTTCTTGTAGAAGATTTCCTGGGCAAGTTAGAAAAGACCTCGGTCGGGATGAATCCATCGTACCTCAAGCTCCAATGACAAGTTGTAAATATCACTCCCGTCTTCGTTGTAAATACGAGCATTCTTCCAGATCAAGCTAAATGCGCTTTCAAAAGCATCCCAGCTCTTGAACAGGGTATGGCCTGTAGGAGCTTCGCGACCAACAACGCCCCGTACTTTCTTCTGTATTGCAGACAACGACATGGGATCCTTGATCAGCTGATAGTAGTCCTTCAAGCTCCGTGATGGGAGATTTTGG